AAAAACGAATGAGTAAAGTTGACATTCAACAAAATGATTGGAAGTTATGTAGTGGGTGTGTTGAAATAGGAGATGGGAGTTTTGAGACAAGCACAATTGAGTCAATTGATCTGAGCGAAGTTGAAAAGATTGGAAATCATTGTTTCTTTTGTTGTAACAACTTGAGCAAAGTCATATTTAGTGATAAAATCACTTCCATAGGTGAATGGTCATTCTGTGAGTGTCCAAGACTTTCAATAATTGAGTATAACAGTCAAACCCCATTGAAGACACAAATCCCACATTTTATTCGAGCACTGATTCATAACCATCAAAAGGTTTGTTCTAGCAAAGACTGTTATTGTAAAGAAGACCAAATTCAGTATCAAGGATCAATACCAGATGGTGTTGAAGTAATTGAAAAGAATGTATTTATGAGAGAATATTCAATTAGAGAAATCAATATCCCATCCACAGTCACAGAAATAAAGTCTATGGCATTTCAATACATGGATAGTCTTACTTCAATCACATTATCCAAACAACTAATGAAGTTACCAAATTACTTTCTTAGAGGGTGTAGAAGCATTGAACTGATTGATACAAAAAATGTCGAAGAAATATCAAAAGGATGTTTTGATGATTGTCTTGAATTAACCAGAATAAAGATTTCAAATAACCTTCATTCTATCTCACCAAAGTCTTTTCTTAATTGCTCTAAGTTAATGAAAATAGATGTACAAGGAATGCAAGAAATGAAAGGTAAAATAAGATATAAGATATATTCATTACTGAAAGAGGAAGGTGTTGTTTGTGATAATTGCTGCTTAATTCATGATGATATTAATGAAGAGGAAGAAAATTTCAATATCCAAGAAGGAGTAACAAGAATAGCTTCATACTGTTTCAATAGTATGAATATCAAGAAGATTTCTATACCAAAAAGTGTGAGAGTGATTGAAAAAAATGCTATTTACAATTGTACAATAGCTCAAATGGAAGTGAGTGATGTTAATAAAATTGAGTATGAAAAGGGTTGTTTTAATGGAACTGAAATACAAAATAAAACATTCTCTGAAGAGTGTTTTAATGATTATGATGACTTATATTTCATTGAACAATTTAATGATGGAATGAATTAAGTACTATTTTCAATGTGGTATTGTATGAAATGATTTATCATTTATATTTATTGTGATTAATTCTACAAGATATTTAATTCGTTCTGAAATAACTTTTTGACAATATTCTTCATTTCTAATTCCATTGATTTCTTCAAGTTGATATTTAATGATTGGATTGTTATGTATTTCTTTCTTATCACTTATCCCATACTTCTTTATCATTGAAATAATCGTTAAATCACTCCCAACACTCCATCCACTTTTCTTTGTTTCTTCTTGATATTCTTTCCCTTCTATAATTTCTCCTTTTTTAATTCTTTGATACCCTTCTTTAATGATATTGTATATTTTGATTTCTTGATTAATTGGTGTGTTTGAATATTGTATTTCTTTTTCTTCTTTCATCTTTTCTTCTTCACTCATTCCTTTTATCATATTTTCTTTGTTTGTTCTTTTGTTCTTTTCTTTTTTCTTTTCATTTATTCTTGTTTTCTTTTTTCCTTCATCTTCTTCAATTGTCTCATCTACACTTCTTCCTGTGTTTTCTTTCTCTTCTTTGTTATGTTCTTCACTCTTCTTTCCGATTTTGTGTTTGTCTCCCTTTCTTGTTCTAATTTGATGATAATTTCTTTTTTTCATTTCTCTTGTAATTTCTTCTTTTTCACTTGCGTTGTGTTTGATTGGTTTTTCTTCTTTGACAAATGATAGATATTGACAATTCATCATGTCAATCATTTCAATGTTGTAATAACCATCAGTGCTTGTTTGCATTTATGATTGATTTTTAGTTATTTTTCATTTTATTAGTTTTTTTAGTTTTGTTATTTCTAATTTGTCTGTTGTAAAAGACATGAAACATTGTTGTGAATAAATTGATGTGCAAAAACATCAACAATAACATACAATAATTTCTATGAATTTATTCATTCAATTCTTCTTATTTATTTTTGTTTCTTTATCTCATAATCTCGTTCATTAGATTATAAAATTTAATATTATTATTATATTTATTGATATTAAAATGCAGATAATAAAGAAATACATAATTTGTGTAATTGAAATAATTTAATTGACGTTTTAATAATAAATCCAATGAAATAAGATAAATAATACAATGAAATGAGAATGATGATAAAATGAATGTAATTAAAGAATGAAAATTCAATTATTATTTAATTTTATTATACATTTTCTTTCATTTTAATTTTAAATCAAATGATAAATACAATGATATAAATGTATTATTTAATTGTTTGTGAATAAATACAATGATAATAAAACAAAATGTTCAATAAAATTACATTCATGAAATAATATTTGTCATTAAAAATAACATAAAATGAAATTGAATAAGAATAAAAACAATTCAATTCATATTTTATTAATTTATTAATGTTAAAATATTTCAAATAAATCGACAAAATCCAATGAAATATTCACAAATAAATGAATGATGATATGAGATGATATTCAAATTAGAATAAAGAATAAATTGAATGTGTATTAATTTGAATATATTTCAATGAAATGACAATGAAATATCATATTTATCATTTACTTATTTCATTATCAATACTATAAATGAATATGACATTGTTTTTAATTACAATCTTATTTACATAATTATTATTTATTTGTTTATTTTGGTTCAATATTCAATTTATTTTCTTTATTTCTTCAATTTTCATCATTCATTATAATAGATATGAATGAAAGTATTTATTTCTAAACACCAATTCATCATTAAATCTACGCAATAATCAACACAAAGAAAATGGATAAAAATATAATAATTGAACAAAATATATCAACAAATACAAAATATAATCAATAACTTCTTGTAGTTACAATCATAGCTTATTAATACATTCAAATATTCAGTTTGAATGAAAAGAAAACGAATTGTTATAATTAACTAACATAACTACATTAATTTATTTAACATTCATTAACAAAGATAAATAAGAAGATAAAGAAATAGGAATGGAAAAAAGTCAAAGAATAAAGAAGAAAATGAACAACAAGAAAAAGAAGAGATAATGAAATTATGAAGAATATAAGAAAGAAATAAAAATAAAGGAATTAATTAAGTATTAATAGAACTAACTTCTGTTGTTCCTTCATTGGATGGGAATAACCCCATCCATGACTCATCTTCTAGCAGCTCTACAGAGTATGTTTGGTTGTGATAGAAGCAGTATTCCATGACATTAATCATGTTTTGTATTACATAGTTTTTAACTTCTTTAATGAGGTCAATTTCAATTTTTAATTCTTTAATTAATCTATTGCTTTATTTGTTTATTATTCTATTAATTGAAATTACTACTGGAATTATTTTGACATCTTTTATTTTCTCTATTTTCATTAGCGTATTCTTTAATTAATTGTACATATTTCTTTTCTTCCAATAGGTTCCATTAATATTGTGATCAGCCACAATAGTCATATCAAATATTAGACTAGTTTTATTCTTTTTATTTAATACGTATATATG